AGAGGTGTGGACACTGCTGGATGGCTTTGACAGCATATATCACAGTTCATTATTTAGGATCTAATGAAGGAAGCTTCCAGGTGAGCCTCATGAAAGCAACAGGGTAAACACAGAAATGTGTGATGAAAAAAATAGGTCCTTGAGCTACTATTTAAAGTCTACAGGTGATGATCACACGTTAGGTGCTTCACCCTCAGGAGGCGAGGTGGGCACTAACAGAAGCACTGTTTTATGGAGAAAGATTGTGTTTCTCCTTACCTAGAGCCTGCTCATGACACAGACTCATGCCTTTGAAGATATTCATTTGCATGTAAAAGCCTTAAGAAGACCCAGGCCTCAGTTTTCAGCCTGCACAGGTTATGATGGCTGTATTTCTGTACTGCATAAAAGCGTGTGAGGACACATCTACTAATGGTATGAAGCTGCTGCTGTAATGAGGACCTGGGGAAGACAGACTCAGCAGATTTTCCCATCCCATGGTTAGAGGCAGGATCTGCTTCCCTGAAAGGGGCACATCCCCTCCTTCTGTGCCAGGAAGGGGATGGTGCTGCCTCAGGTTTGGGTTTGGTGTCTGCAGGAGCTGCGTGTGGTTCCTCAGCTGAGATTAACTTCCACTGACCTGCTCATACTGCGGCACCCAGAGGAGCCTCAATAGCTGCCAAAGTTGCAAAAAATCAATTTAATTGGCAGGTAAGAGCCCTGGGAGTCTAATGCACACACTGTAAGCCCATCCTATATAGGATGACAAAGAGAAACCTGCAGCCCATACCCCAACATGACCCAAAGTTTACAGCTGGGGGAAGAACTGGAAAAAAAAAAATCATCAAATTGCTACAGATTTGGGGCATTAAAGCCCTTCCTCCAGGAATGTCCAGCTCTGCAAGTTGCACTTTACTGAATTCCTACTGAAAAAAAAATGGTACTAACAAATTAAAGAACTGATGCCTTTCATTTTTTTTTCCGTGAAAACAGCCAGGACTTTAAACCTCTGAGACTGTAATTATTACAGACGTGGTACACCTTGTTGTAAAAATATAGGAATATATCACACAGCGACAGGGAGAAATAGGCCTGACTTTTCTTCCTTTTAAATCTCAATTAAAAAATACATTGGATGAAATTTCCCATTAGCTGGTACTATTTGTACATCCCATGTTCTTTCTTTAATTAAAAAACATGCTTATTGCAATACTGCCAGAATCGCTTTTACGGTATTTTAATTGTAATGTCTCTGCCTGATTAAAAAAAGAAAATATGAACTGGAAACTGCCTGCAAAAGTATCACAACGCACATCTGAAATGGGTTGAGCAAAATGGTACAGAAAACACTGCAACACAAGCAGTTTCCAACTGAGAAGGGATTTTAAGCCAGGTTTAAGGGGTGGTAGATGCCATAGCCAGGAAAACAGAAGGAAAAGCTTTTTCCTTCTTTCACTGAATTCAAACCCAATCTATACCAGCAGTGACTGAAGCACTGCTTATTTGACATCTGCTTATGCAGGTGTATCAGTTAATATTTGATGCTCTTTGCTAATAACATCAAAGCCTAGGAAAAAGCCAAGCAAAATCAATATTTGAATTTCACTCCTCCCTAGATCTACTCGTAGGCTCTGTTCTAGCCACAGCCTGTTCTGAGCGTGGATTACAGGAGATCCAAAATATTGATGGATATGGGTTTGGACATGGGTTCAAAATCAGATAATAACTGACAATATCCTTGTGGCTTGTCAGTTCTCTTTTTTTTTCTTTTTTTTTTCTTTTTTCTGGGATCTCATAGTTTAAAAAAAAATAAAAAACCCATATTGGCTGTGATATTTCAGAAACTGGGTGCACAGTTTTTAAAGGCAAATGAAGCTGGTCAGACCTTTTCAAAATCTCAGCTTGGAGTCTGATCATGGAAGAGGAAACTGGGATGCTGGTTTCAGCAGGACTGCCAAGATGCAGCGATGCCTACAAGTGAGAGGAAGAGCTGTGACAAGTGATACTGGGGTTTTTCTAGAGTAGGGGCCAAAACAATCTTCTTCCTTATGCCTGCAAGGGTGACCATCTCCAGGTTGCCATTGCAAAGGCAACTGGTCGGTTCAACACCTGGTATCTTCAACCCCACCAGCGTATACAAGCAGCATAGCTCCAAAATTCATCCCCAAGATACTCATGGAAGAAGAGGAAGGGTTTTGGTCTCCAGACCTCCCTAGAGGTTGTTCAACACAGTAATATAAATTCAGACAAAGGCAATAGCATATGTCTGAGGTATCGAGCCATCAAACACAAAGGAGTTACTCCAGTGCAAGCTCTGCGCAAAGGAAATTTCCATCTGTCCTGGGTTACCATAAATATTTCCATACTTGTGATGTTGGGATTACAAAAATAACTGCAATCTGATGAATTTACAGAGTTATCTACAATCTGTCTATCTTGTATCTCTTCCCCAATCAGTATTGTCTGAGCTGTTTCACAGTCTGGCTATTAAACTTTCCACTGCCGATAACCACGTGTTCATGCTCTGCTCGTTGAGGGGGAAGTAGAAACTGCTGAGCCCTCATGGCAGTGAGCAGGACCCAGCTGCCTAGTCCTATTTCTGTATTGCTTTGACCTCCGGATCTTCTGTCCAGAGAATCTGGTCACTACCAGAACCACTATGTGTATTTGGCTATATGTCAATACAGCCAAAGTAGGGTCACTTTAAAGGTCCATGTGTAGCTGACATCCTATTCTTTGAACAATCTTTATAACGTTAAAATCACCATAAAGAGACATCATAGAGGCAGTATTCAAAATCCTCGTAGAGTCCAAAAAAGAAGAATTCCAAGAAATGGGTCCATTTTCTGTTTGCTGGGTACAGCATAAGAAAGTAGACAAAACTGTGTCTTCACAGAGGAGTAGGCTCAGCAGCATTACAGGTTGTTTTCATCCATGAAGTCTGTTACATTTTCATCTTGTGAATGCACAGACAGCCTGATGCTGAGTCATGAAAGCCAAAAGGACCAGAACTACAATTTAATCCCATTCTCCAGCTCCAACTAAGAAAAACTCTCCACATAGGATAGGAATGGGATGTTTCAATCGAAGCCCATATCTACACCCACCTGCAGGTTAGGGGTTTATTGTCATGCCCATCTTGCAGCTGAGAAAAGTCATCAATTATTTCACAGACTCAGTAGTTGCTACTCACCTAACTGTGACTCATCTTAAGACGGGTATCTACATTACCTAAGATGAATAAGTCTTTGGTGGCATGTGTGAGCAAAGAACATCAATACAGGAGCCTAAATGACTCCCCTGAGCTGGACAACTAAAAGGAAGGTAAGGTTAGGAAAGATAAATCTCAGTTTCATATCAGAGTGGATCTCAACATGTCTTGACTCCAAATCTAACCAAGGCTAAACAGGTCACAGCACCCATGTAAGTATCGGGGTGGATGCAAGAAGGAAATTTCAGCAAAGACAAAGCTCAGACAAACAATTACCATGTAGACTTCTGCTTCTAAAAGGTTTGGTCCCTATGTTTTGCATGTAGCAATGCAGAAAATAATAACATCTAGAATATTTTAATGCTGCTTTCCTAACCGAATCTACATTATACACCAAGTTTCTTGGAAAATGTAATAAAGGGGAGAAATTATTTGAATGTCAGATGAGCTGAAGCCATAAAGATACTGCTCCAGACTTCATTAAATTCAATCAGACCTCCGTTTGCTTCATGAGTGCTGACTCATAGATCAAATGTGCCTTTGAGTAGACCCAAAGTTCACAGGGTTTCTGCTGCAATATTGTGCCCCAGTTCTTCACAAAGTCAGAGACTGGGCCCCAAAAATCCTCATCCACATTTGCAGCCAAAAGACTCAGAAATCTGGGGCTCTGACCTTCCTCCTCTACCATATGTCATAATCACACCGGGGTTAAGAAGGATCTTGCATCACCCAGATTTAGGATTTCCACTGGGGAACAGAAGGAAGAAAGTTGTACTAAAATATTTCACATTTTTAAAATCTCAAATTCTTTTTTTTTTTTTTTAACATTTCAAACTATTTTTGGAAATGTTCTCACAACAGCGATAAATTTGCAAAGTTTTTTTTCTTTTTCTTTACAGAACGATCATTCAAAGATAGATTAAAACATAATTGTCAAATGCATGATTTTCATCATCTTCTCAATGAAAAGCTATTACCTTTAACATCCTTTTAATATAAAATCATTTTTAGCAGCAAGGAAGATCCAGGTTTTTAAAGATATAAAACCTCTTCTTTCCATTTTTCGAGCTCTATTTCAGCAGAGTTTTACACATAGGCTTAACTTTGAGCAAACAATTTCACCAGAACAGCTCATTCACTTAATACCAAGCACGCGCACAACAGTTTTCACAACCAGGGCCTAATTTCTAGAAAGAAATATATCTGGCACTGAATGACATGTAATTTTAATTCTTACTTTGACACCCCCAGAGAAACATGCCCTGACTCTTACGCCAAGTCTAGCCCAGGGAACGTGAACCCTCCAAACCCAGTCTTTTCCCCCCATAATTGTGCTGGGTTATTTACTCTCCACCAGCCGTGCTCTAGGATTCTGGATTATTTATTACATTCGGTAGCTGTGGCCTGTAATTCTGTAACATCATTAATTTTGTAAAGGCTTTCGCAACACACTTGCCTTAAAGATGCCAAACAAAACAGAGTTGATTATTGTTATCAGCACTGCCATTATCACCCAGCGCCACTCAGGATTGCAGCGCTTTCAGTAGCTGGGGGAAAGAAAAAGGGGGGGAAAAAAAACCCCTTCCTACTCATATTGTCATTATGCCTCAAACAGCATAAACGATGCTTTCTGCATACATAATAATTAAACGCGTTCCCCCATCACCCTCCTGTTGTATCTCCCCACAGCAGACTCAGCCTGCCTGACCAGGTATCTCCTTCGATGCAGGAGCTGGGCAAGGAAAGGGAAGATCACAGCCCTGGAAGAACAAGAGCACTGAACCAGCCCCCCCATTTCCCTTCTGCAGACCTTTGAGATGCAGCAGGTTGAGGTTGGTGGTGGTGGTCCCCAACAGGAGGGTCCGGCCTCCTTCTATCGTGACGTTATCGCCATCTCGCGGCTGGTGGCCAGCAGGCCAGCTGGAGTCCTCGTCCCATCGGCCACAAAACTGAAGGGCAAGCTGGAAAGAAAAAAAAGACCCAGAGAGGTTCAAAACTCACCCTTTCCCACCCTTCAGGAAGCCAGCTTGCTGAAAGGACGGCAGAGGAGATGCCAATGCCCCACTGGCTGGTTTCCCAGTGGGAATCGGCGTAGAGTGAAGGGATGGAGGGACATTGGGGTTGTTCTTGGGCTTCAGAAACACCTGTGTGTCGGGGTTGCCCCTTGTCTCCTTCTGCTGTGGGTAAGGGCTTGCTGCAGATCTGGCTGCGGAAAGTCCGCAGGTTCCCTGGTGTGTGTCTCTCTCTGCCTCCCAAAAAGCAGAACTGCACGTTAATTCCTGGCAATGTCATAGAAATAGCCCGAAGAGTTTAGAATGAAAACATCCTGCTAGATGGGCAATAGTTTGCTTTACAGGATTTTTCAAAGGCTCTCCTGCCACTCATCCACATTTAGGGAGACATTTCTCCCTTCAAATACTTTAAAAAATTTCTCAGCTTATCCAGTATTGCTGGCACCTCTCCTTTGATGGGGATCAGTTACAAATAAAGCACAGATTAAATTAAAAACTGGAAATAGCCTGGCTCGTGATGAGGAATGGCAAAATTATGCCCGCCTGTTTTTGAGCCATGGTTCCTCCTCACCTCTAAACTTTAAGTATGCACTTAGCAGTGACCTATTTTGTGAAGAATGTGTGCACCTTTTTGCACAGACCTGTGTGTGCAAACATGGGCATAGCCATTCATAACATATTCTTTTGGACTCACATGTAAACTGGCAAGTAGAGTCTAAACTGATCTAGGGAGGGATGGGGGACGGTGGGGAGGGCAAAAACATATTTGTGATCCTCGCTGGGTTGTGCTAATCCGAAACAGCAATGGAAAGAATAACCTCAATACAAAAACAAAATATAGTTACCCCATTTTCAACCAGAGCATATAATGGGCATTAAAGCTTTTGCTCCACTGCTGAGGTTTAGGTGAATCGATGCTGGTGGTGTTACAATAGTTATTCTTTCGACTGTGCTATTGTCAATTTTAGCTTTATGTGCCTGATGTTTTATACAACATTTCCCATAGCACCTAGAGCAGTCAGGTAACTATTATATAGTGACTACTGTCCTAATTATTTACACCAGGGAATGGGTGTTGGTTCCCAGGCGAAATGTTACAATTGGTTTATGCCCATCCTGGCTGTAGGGTATGGGATGTTGGTATTTTCCATCTCCTGTCCGATTCTACGATTTCCATACAAAGAGATTTACTTGATTCAATTTTGACTGTAGCCTGGGACTGAATGAACACACACGTAGCGAAAACATCTGGGGAGTTAAGTCCCCTGAACCAGAGGGAGTGAACCACTTCATCATTACAAAAGTACAGATAAGCCTTCACATCTGTACACAACCTCTACAGAGAGCATGATTTCTGCGTGGCTGCTGAGTGTAATAGGACAAGTTTCACCATCATTACTCACAAACATATATTTATATATCTCAGAGATTTAGGACAAAATTCCAGCTGAAAGGATAAATACCTTTATCCACTGTCTTTCCAGAAAGACTATGAATTGCTCGTTATTGATAGTGCTTTGAAGCAGATTATATACAAGGGTATACAATGGATGCAATGAAAAAGGAGCTGATTAAACTTGTTTTTACTTCAGAACAGGGGACAGAGGAAGGTACTGTTCATGAAAAGGCACACATTTCCCAGATACGCTGTTTTTTAAGCCAACTGTAGCACAATATTACAAATTCCATAAATTCCTATCTGGTACAACCTCAACCAGTGCTGCTGGCAAAACATCGCGTGATACCGTTGTGAAATGGTGGGATCCATCTGAACATCTTGCTGAGAAAGTTGGTTAAATGCCTTGAAGTCACTTTGACCCTTCAAAGTCACTTAGAAAACTCCAGTTGCCTCTAATGGGAAAGCGAGGGCGTAAGGAATAAATACATCGGATTGTTCTTGCCAGCACCAAAAACTTAGTAAACTGTTGGGTAAAAATCTCACAAGAGTTAAGAAAAATAAACCCCTCTTCTGAATTTGGATATTTTTTTCTTTAAGAGGGTTCCCCTTGCTAGCTAGAAAACACTCTAAGTTATTTAAGCTTCTCTCTATATAACATCAGTGTTTAAGTTACTCTTGCTGGGTTTTGGCTGTCACCTCTTAGAAGACTCCGTACCCATTCAGCTCTACCTGTACCCTCCAACTTAAAAGCTAGTGGCTCATACACGTCAGTGTAATTAAACACAAGAAATAGTTAAAACCATCTGGGAAACTAAGAGCTGTTAACTGTCTTAAAAATATAACTCAGAAAAGATACAAATATGCTGAAACCAAGTGCTCTGTTATTCAGATGATACACGTGTCCACAGTAAGAGGCAGTGACTACACTAGCAACCTAAACACAGACAGATTTTATTGCTCAAAAGAAGGTTTGCTACCCACGAATCATTATATAGAGGCTGAAAATAAATTGGACAAGGTCATAAAAATCTCTGTCATTTCACCCGACCTGTAACTAAAGGTTTCTAGTGAGAAGATGCCTGGTTTAGTCTGCAGCCACATGCACCACCAGCACACGCACCTTTTAAATGATTTCTGATTTTTTTTCTTCTTCTTTTTTTAATCTTTTTAATAAAAGCAAAGAGATGAACATCAACTAATAACACAGGACCAAGAGATATTAATAATCACTTGTACTATCCTTGCATTATCATGGAGAGAATACATTTGAAGAATCTCTCCGAAGAGAGAAAAAGGAAAAGTCCTTTAGAAATGTATTTTAAATTACCATAGTGTACGAGGGGTTTAGAGGGAAAGCAGTTTGGTAGTAATGGAGGAAAAACATTGAAGTGATGGAGGGAAGTGACATAGCAGAAGATTTTACACAAGAGAAGGTGACCCTTCTCTTGCAGTCCTACATCATTCCCTAAGATGAAAGAGCATCTCTGTAAGACCTTTGAAAGAAGAAATTGTGGTACAGTTTCCCTGGACCTTGTGAATCCCATATGATCACCCTCTCCCTTTTTTTCTGGGAGAAAAGCACAGTGCAATCTCCAAATGTAACGGACTCATTAAGTTATTTGCTGAATGGTGGTGGTTATGTCCAGTCCCTATTAAGCAACTCACAGTAAAATAACACATAAGCTAATTGCACATCCTTCATCAAGCAGGGTGGGTGACAGACTCACAGCTCCAGAAACACACTCTCTCATCTGATTCTCCATGTGATCTTAGGGCACCTCCAGGGTTATCACGCCTGTCTTGTCTAGCTGCCCTGTTATCAATATGGGACAGGCTGTCACCCACACTGATCCTACAGACACCAAATACCATCTCTTCATGCTGAGAGTGGCATGGGGGACTTTGCTGCCCTGCAGGCTGAGCATGGTCTCACAACCACTGGAAGGAACTGCCTCACTTGAGACCCCAAAGAAAAATCAGTGAGACCTGTCTCTGTATGGCCATGTCCTAAACATCTTCATCATGCAGAGACTCCATCTCCTTTCCTTCTGCTTGCAGATGAGCAGGATAAGAACATCCCACACACTGTTTTTTTCATCGAAGCAAAACTCCTTTTCCTTTTCTTTGCCTGCTTGGCATCCAGTGTTTGACCTGTGGTGTTTAATTTAAATATTTCTCAGTAAGACTGAAGAGCAGCAGCAGCTGCAAGCACCAGGGTCATGGCTGAGCGCCCAGCCCATGCGCACTTGTTGAATGGACCAGGAGGAACCCGCAGAGCCAAGGAAAGCTGCGTGTCAGCAGCTGGCAGGGGGCATTTTCCTTCTGTGCTACTTCCAGCTTCAGCACGGGGCACAACAAATGGCAGGGAGCCTGAAAATCAGGGTGGGGGAAAGAGGAGTTGGCACAAAACTCTTGAATGTGGCCAACTTCAACTAGGTTTAACAGGAAGAGAGAGACCACCAAAATGCTGTATTTCCGCAAGGCTCATGAAAATCAGTAGTTAGATTGAGCCAAGAGATTTTTTTGGTGTTTCTCCCAAGGACAGAAGCATAACGTGAGCTGAAAACTTAAAACTGGTCACCTAAACTTTTGCAGGATGCGCCCTTATGTCAGACATCCATGGGAAACCCACCCTGGCAACGCTTCACATTTTGAATCCAGCACAGCAGATGACACTAATTCCATAATGAACCAAATTTGCAAAAAGTGGACAAAAATCCCAGGCGGGTAGGAAATCACAAGCACTGGGAATCCCTAAGGAGTCAGTTGTTCTTCCTGGTGTACTAAAAACATGAGGACCAGGGAGGGAAACAGATACAAAAATTCAACGAGAAGAGTCCTGCAATATCTTCCCACCTCTGACACCCCTTTGGTGTGTGTCATGTACAATTTCAAGCTCACACCTTGTGTACCAAACCCATAGCTGGTGTATAACACAGGGTAATTTTGGGGTGTATCAACTACCTCCCCATTACAGCTCCAAAACCATGAATGAATTATGTAAATATAGAATAACCTTTTAATAGCATACAATAAAAGATGCACAAGCTCTTTCTAATTCAGCACATTATCCCCTTCCTCCCTCCTGCACCTTCTTTTTTTTTTTTTTTTCCATTTTCAGGCAGATTTTATATTTTTAGCTGCTGCTGTTGTCAGCCAGCCTGGGGTTGCCTTTATATCAGCCTTTGGGGACACGATCTCTCAGTACCAGTTTCTCAGCTTGTGCCTGTGACTACCAGGGCTCAGAAACAGCAGCAGCAACCACTGCAGATGAATAAATAACAGTGATAGACTTGCATTCCCACACAGGCTGGCAAGCAAGTCACAAAGGGAAGAAATTGTAAAGTGACCACTACTTCAATGTTTGGCCTAAATTTTTGTAAATGACAATCATTCTGCCAAAACAACGCATGTTTATCTGGGGATTTTTAACTCCCTCTTCCCCCAAAATGCAAGGCTTTGCCTTAAAAGAGTTGAGAAACTCCTGTTTAGAGGAATCATGAATCATTGGATCTCTGTGGTAACTTTGCAATTTGTTTGGTGGGGTGGG